CGATCAACAATCCCAGCAAAGATATCCTTTTTCTTGCGGTTGAAATGTTCCGGGAGGCCTAGGTATTTGCCAATGCCACCTTCACCTGCAATTCCTAACAATTCCTTAACTCTTCTGCGCGTTTCAATTGGCGTTTTTGCAGAGAACGTGATGGCAGATTTCTGAAGGTTGATACTTTGCCCGGAAGCCACTTCGTACTACACAAATTTATTAATATATTTATATGATGCAATTACGTAAGAGGAACTATACTACACAAATGTTATTTACTTTTTCAGCAGAAATCAATAAAATACAATGAAAAAAATAACCAAAGTTTGATTATTGGACGCTGACCCACAGATAACCATTTTAAATTTTGCAAGTACTCGTAGAGAGTTATAATTCGATATATATTGTTTTTTTTTTTTTTTTTTTTTTTTTTTTTTTTTTTTTTTTTTGAACTGAGATATATATTGTTATAATGAACTAATTCTTATGTAACCCTATACAAATTTCTTAATACGTAGACATCTATAAGTTTATGGCAGGATTCAATTACTGTCTTAGTGGTTAGTTCAATTATATGGAAACTTGATGTTCAATTGTATGTATTCATAATTTATATTCTCAAGATTATTATTACCGTCATATCACATGTTCAATCATGTATTTGTGCAACAATTCAATTATTTGCAACCCTTGTGTACATCATACACTTGTTTTATTTATCCTGTTGTCAGATATCAAGCAAACATTACAAAGTTTTGGTTGATGATCACCAAAGTGTTATGTTGTTTTTTGGCTACTGAGAATATTGAATTGGTAGAAAGTATAATGAGTGTAGTTATGCAAATTACGAATGCCAATTAGCCTTGTTTGGACTTGTGTTATTTATTATCATACGTAAACATTATAGCACAAAAACCGAACATTATAACACAAGTTTTCACATGGAAGCTGCTCTTCCACTGATTTTTGGATCTATAACATATTTTTAAAATAATTAAATGAAAATCAATTAGTTTAACAAATGCATTCGAAGAAAAAAAACAATTTTATTTGAATATAATATTTTGTATATCCTTTTTTTGTTCAATAATATTTTGTTTATCTATCGATCGATTCTAGTGAGTTTTCGTAAATTCATTTATATATAAACAGAAGATACATGTTCATCGGCTAGATTCATATTAACCCTCAGATATGGTTTGGTTGACGATTAGATATTAGAAATGCTGGCACTCAACATAAAGTAGGATTTATATGTATTATTTTTGTAGTTTTTCGTTCAATTCATGTATTTTCTTTTAATATTCTATCGGTCTGGGCCATCAATTAAACATCTACCGTATTCACTGAATCATTAATTGATAATCATTACTGATCATAAATAATAATACGCCTGGATTCAAAGAAAAAGGATAAAAACTAAAAATAGATGATAATGAAACTAGAACACAAGTAGGTAGGTCTTAATTTATAGCAAACTAAAAATCGAATTAGTTCTTTCTGGTGATTCTTTGCACTAATGATTATAGCAAGATATATTCTGGTCTCATTACTTTTTAATGATTTTTAGCAGGCTGGAGTGATTGACACCAAAACCCGGAGGGACTCTCTTGAACCGAAAGCAAAACTCATGCAAGGTTCTCTTCCAGTACGTTCCTTATTACCAAAAGGCTCTTCAGAAAACGTGTTATGATAGTTCATCCGTCCCGTTTTAGTGTGATCTTCGCCACCAATGTTGTTCCATTAGTCTTGAGTTGAAGAGCCAATGATCTTTATGTTACATAGAGAAGTCTCTAGTTAGTTACCTGTAGTAATTCTAGTAGCCATTACAAAATGTATTACTAGAAAACTCGCACCACCGCGCTGTAGTTGTTTTGTATTTTCAATGCAATTTTGATTTTGAAAAAATAGTTTAACTTTGTTGGATTTATGTATTAATTAGAGAGAGAAATATAGAAAAATGGAGTTTTCGACTAATTTATTCACATCCCTAAAAAACTATGAAATGACACTCTAGGTAAAACATAGGGACTATTACCTTTGTAAGGGTATTATAAATAGTAACACATGATTTGAAAATCCTTTAAAATTGAACAGAAATAATTTAAATATAATAACCAAGATTTTAGTAAAATATTTAAAATAAATTAATAATATACAAAATTTCAATTAATACACAAATATATAGAATAGTATAAAAAATCAATTAATATACAAATATTTAAATTTCACCTAATTTATGTTTTTTTGTGGTTATAAAATGCAATTTCCCTATCATAAATAGTAATACAAGATTTTGAAGATCCATTAAATTTTAATAGAGATTATTTAAAGATAGTGATCCAAAATTTTAGTAAAACATTTAATATCAATTACTGAAAAATAATGGATTGCAGATTCCAAAGTTCTGTAATGGTCTCTTATTTATATGAAGCTTTGAACTAAGCTAATGATGCAAATCGTGAAGGACAAGTAACAATGGTGGAGTCGTTAATACCCGGCTTGACGGACGATGTAGCAGAGCTGTGCCTCTCGCGAGTCCCGCGCTCTAGCTTTCGAATCATTTCTCAGGTGTGCTGGGGATGGAGAAGATTCCTCAGGAGCGAGCGTTACGGAGCCGTTCGAAAGTTGACGAGATCGGTGGAAGAGTTAATGTGTGTTCTAGTGAATAACAATTACTGTGAAGTTTTCGACGGCTCTGGTAACAAACTTGGACTCATCCCTCCCTCTCCAGGGCCTTTTAAGAGCCATTTTGGCCTCGTGGTGCTCGATGGTAGAATCTTGTTCGTCGGTGGACAATCTGCGAGGGTTGCTTTGGCGGATGTTTACGAGTTCAATTCTGCTATTAACAGGTCTGAATCTATCTGATCAATTTGTAACATTAGGGTTTATATTCTTAGTGGTTTTGTTCGTTGATAAAAAACAGGTGGAGAAAACTGGCAGACATGAACATACCGCGTTACGGCTTTACATATGCTGTAGTGGACGGTCTTTTGTATGTGAACCAAGGCTATTCCTCAGGTGGTGTTAGCATTCTCAACTCGGAAGTATACAACCCGAAAACTAACCAATGGAGCCTCATGGATTGTCCACACCGCCCAAACTTTCGCCCTGCCTTCGCATTCTCCTTCAATTCCAAACTCTTCGTTGTAGGTGGGAATAGAAGAGCTGCACATATATTATTATTCCGAGTTAAACATACTTTGATGATGATTATCTTTTTCAGGCAATAGATCGAGGTTCATCCACATATATGACCCTAGAAAGAAGACATGGGAAGAGCTAGATTCGGGCCAAACAGGACTGGATGTGTACTCCTACACTGTTGTTAGGAACAAAGTGTATTTCTTAGAGTTGTTCACGCCGGAATTAATGAAAGTGTTTGATCCAGAGAAGAATGCTTTGAGCTCTGTGTTTGTGCCTCCGAACAATAAGAGTAAATTCAGGTACACACTAGGGCAATGGAACAATAAGGTTATCCTGTTTTCAGAGGGACGTGAGGCCTTAAGTGGTGACCTTGACAAAGAGGACACACCCAAGTGGACAACCACTCCAATTAAAACATCTCGTTATCACGACACCAGTGTTCTCATCAACTTTTGATTTTGCAAAATGCGTGCAATGTTTTGGGGTTGTCAACTTTGTGTTTAGCCCTCAGCTTAACGATAAATTTATGATTATTTCCTCTGTTCATCTTTGCATTCAGAACTGTTAAACCTACCAAAAAGTGATTTACTACTTACCTAGTCTCCGATAGCTATTTTCTTTAACTGTGTATGCTTTTTCCGGTCCAAAAGGTCATAGCATAGCTTTGTTCTTGTGTTGTGATTATATATGTTATATTATATACTTTTGGATATGGGAAACATGGGATGTGACTCCACATTCGTTCTCGTGTGCACTTTCGGTAAAGAAGTTTCCGGTTTCATCGAACCTATCTACATCGATTTTTGGGGTAGTCATCCTTTCAAAACACCTGCAACCAAAACTGAATTGTTTTCATACCACTTGTTAGGTTGTAAACTTTCATATGTCTTTTGAACAAGGATGAATTCTAAGATTGAATACAAAACCTTAGAACCTCTTCCCTAATCCATTGTGCTTTTACTCATTTGCAAATTTATGAAATTCACACTTACTATAAGAATATAATTCTTGTGGCATCTCTAATATTTAGGTCGAGTGTGAATAGCCAATCTGCTAATCATAATAATTAGAAGAACCAACCAGCATGATTAATTAAAAAATTATTTCAGAAAAAAATGACATGAAACAGATTAATTCAAATAATTATGAAGATAATTATTTAGTACCAAAATTCAGAGTTCAAATAAGAAACACTATTTTTTTTTACAATTGAACCTAGTAAAAATTTTAAAAAAAAACTGTCCCTTAAAAGTAATTATAAAATGAGGACATGATGAAGCTTGTACGTATATTGTTTATAAATATTAATAACTAGGTGTTTTGCCCGCACTTGCGGGCTTAATAATTTCCTAATATCTATATTCAAATATAATCAGTTTAAGTAAATTATAATAAATTATTGTTCATACACTCAAAATATTTAATAATAATCTAAACAAATTCTTTCTATATATAAATTTTTTCATCATCATATAAATAATTGTCATACACAAATTAAATGTGAAAANATAATCAGTTTAAGTAAATTATAATAAATTATTGTTCATACACTCAAAATATTTAATAATAATCTAAACAAATTCTTTCTATATATAAATTTTTTCATCATCATATAAATAATTGTCATACACAAATTAAATGTGAAAATATTCATAAATTTAAAATATTTAGTAATAAATTAATATCATTTTTAGACATAACAAAAAAATATAATAAAATTATCTTTAGTAATGTAAACTATCTATACATAAATTCTTTGCGAATTATTTTTTCATAACTAAATATATATTAACAAATATAATTATTTTCAAGGTTAATACAGACTTATAACAGAATTATAAAAAATTAGATAGTGATAATTATCAAATTCATGAAATTCGTTTTTAATTATAATTAATTATATATTAACAAATATAATTATTTTAAATATAATTATTTTTAATGTTGATAAAGACATAATATAAAAAATTAAATAAGGATGATTATCAAATAAATGAAATTCGTTTTTAATTTATAATTAATGATACATTACTAAAAATACAATTATATTTCAGGGTTAATAAAGATTTTATAACCCAATATAAAATAGTTTTAGATAAAGATAAATCTAAAATCATTGAAATTCGTTTTTTACTTATGTTTAATTATGTAATGAATTTTTTAATTATTATATAGTAATAAATCTTTTTTTGGTCAAATGGTAATAACTATTAGTCATTATATAGTAATAAATCATAAGAACATGACAATTAGATTTACTATCTTTAATGGCAAATCAAACATAAACTTAATGACTAATTAGATTTATTACTATATAATTAATAATTCAATTTATTATAATCATTAGTCTAGATAATGATAATCATCAAATCATAAGAAACATGACAAATAAGATTTGTTTCTAATTATTATATAGTAATAGATCTAATTAGTTATTATATAGTAATAAATCCAATTAGTCATTAAGTTTATGTTTGCTTGTCATTAAGGGTAGTAAATCTAATTAATATACGGTTCATAATTATATAAGAATAATTTTATTTAGTCATTAATTAAGGATAATAATTAATCATTAATCAAAATCATAAAAACATGATAAAAGAATTATAATTACATAAAATCATGGAGAATAT